AAGAACTAAAAAAAATTGTTAAGTAATCGGAGGTAAAATTCTATTTAAAAGGTTTGGGTTCCAAAACACATTGTTCACCTGAGAACTGAAACCAACATATGGGTCATTCTCATCTGTACGTTGGCTCAGACGGCCGTGTGGGTTCCGAGCTGCGTCCGTCCAATATGAGACAACCGTGACGTTATCAAAGGAGCTTCCTCATCGTTTAGCTCCACTCCTCTAGGGCTCTCCCCATCCGACGACCGCTTCTCTTTCCAATCCTGCTCAATGATTTGGATCAAATCATATGAATTCATAAACCGACAAAACCTCAAACTCGGAATGAAAATGTTGAATTTACTAAACAGATTAATCGAGACTGTACCTTTGTGATTCGATCTGGGAGGCTATCAGTGATTGGTTGAGTCGCTTTTACGTCTTTGATTTTAATGTAATTGTACATTACAACCCCACAGAGCGCTGGTCAAAAAGAAGATATGATTAAAACAATGCACATGAGAAGTTATGAGATTATCTCCAATTTGTGATGAAAACAAGAAACAAACCTATTGCGTATCCGATAATGTTCAGACCAGTGATTGTGGACTCGGGAAATATGACAGTGGAGAGAGCTATGAGAATCCAGTCTTTGAGAACGCCAGCAACGCGGATGGTTACTGCTCCTGTTCTTCCGATTACTAAGAATATGGAGAAGTTTAAGGCAAGTGCGCAGAGAGCGTTTGAGAAAAAGATCCAGAAGTTGAACTGGATCTGCGAGACTTCTATATTCGGTTTCTCCAGTACATACCAAGGCAATGACAGGAAAACAAAGCTGCACAACAAAATCAAGGAAAATATTACATGTGTAAAGTGCAGTAGAGGAATTCATCTCGCAATGACAAACATGCAACCTAATGCAATATACGACAAACAGGAACAAGAGGTCACATCAAGTCAACTAAGTATAAGGATTGGGAACAAGTTTCTATTTTAAGCCGATATTTATAATCCCGAATACGAAAATTTTGAGTTGTGTCAGGTTTCATAACTGCATACCTGCATGGGGCTATATAGTATAAGCTGGTGACTGGGTTTAATGTCAAGCCCTTTTTCTGAAGAAGAACTTGAGTAAGCACCAGTCTAAGTGCTTCAGCAAAGATGCCCATGACCTGGTAGACCGTGCCGATTATATTGAAATTAATTTCCCCATAAGACGATACCACAACTCCAACACTGACCAGCAGCATGTTCATGAACACGTCACACCTTGCTTTGTCAGTGCCACAAACAACGGCCATGATGAATGTTGCTACCGGCACTGTCATTCCATATTCATGTGTTAAAAAGCTTGGCAACATGATCAAAGATTCATATACTACAATAGGTTTTGAGCCAAAAGAAAGTTGTGTGTTTTCACATACTTAATGCTTTGAGCATCTGTATGAAGGCAACTGAAATGTGCAAATATGCAGTATTGCCAAACCTGTAAAACGAAGTAAACAGAACATTCAAGAGACAACTCAGATAGCAGGTATGACAAGCAATGGCAAATTCAGCATTTGAAATGTACAGTACTACGAGAAGAGCATCTATAAATCGAATAAGTCTTGCTGTATATGGAACAAAACCTTACCAGAGGCTAGATGCAAAGAATGCGCTTATAGGTACCACACAAGTGACGTATCTGGAGTCGAGGAAAATATGTTAGAGATGATGGAAATCACGTATAGGCCAAAAAAAATGGAGGAAAGAATATAGTAAGCTGGCTTACATTTCGAAAGTCATTTTAACAGGAGAGACAACCTACATTACAAAGAAGAGTATGAAGCATACTTGAAACAAATGATGCATATATCGCAAACCCTTAAATGGAAATGTAAACGAAGGCCTATGAGCTTAGAATACCTTGAATACCCGAATAAGAAGGAATGCCACAAATCCAGAAAATCCCATATGGATCATTGTCAATGTTATAGGAAGTGGAAAATTGAAGTATTTTGGAGATAGAACCCACTGCAAACGTAAGCCAAAAACAATAGATAGTATCTCAAGTCAGCCTCAAAACAAAAAGACAAGAAATGACTATCGTCAGAAACAAAGGTCTTCGGCTATGGTTTCATTTCATATGCACAACATTCAAATCAAATCTCAAATTCTAATTTCAGAGATATACAACCTAAGACATGCAAAATCCAACAGATACACACAAACTATATAAAGATATGAATAAACATCAGATACATTACAACAAAGTAGAAAGTAGTCTCTGAAATCACCTTGTTGTAAAGTATAACTCCAGAAGAAAGTAGAATGTAGATCAGTAAGTAGATATAAGTTAGTACAAGCGTCTTGTTTATCATCTTCGCCATTTTTTTTNNNTCCTCTTCACTTCTCAAAACCAAAGCACCGTAGATGCAGCAGTTCTTCGATTTAGTCACAATAACAACGACAATACAGGAAAGTATCCCACACGCAACAGATTCAGAGATTCCATGAACGAAATCTGAAATCCAAAATCACAAAAAGTATAAATCTCATTAAACACTACAGATTTAAACTAAGCAAAGCAAAACGCATTGGAGTTACGAACACACAAAAACCCCAAAAAATCCTAAATCGAGAGATCAAGATCAGATCCGAGGAGGAGAAAGTGTAACGATAAAGAGAGGAGAATCGATAGTACCATTTACCTCGATATCAGAAGCCGAAATGCGAATCTAGTTTAACATTAGAGAAGGATCAGAGAACGAAACACCGTTGATGAGATTTTTCCGGAGAGTTTCAAGAAATTTTCCGATGAGATTG